TTATGTTTTAAACTCTGGTAAATTAATTCATAAAGGAATGTAAGGAGTTTCTAGGACTGTTGGGACTTATCTTGCACCTTAGGAACTTTAAGAAAACTTTTGGAATAGATGATGGAACTTTACCGGAATCAAGGAAGACAGAGAAACATAAACTGTTTTTGTTTTCAGTTTAGATTTTTGTCAATTAATTCATAATGGAATTAGAGAAGTTTCTAGGAGTATTTGGGCTTAAATTGAACCTTAAAAATTCTTAAGAAACTTAGAACAGACAGTTGGAATTTTCGCCGGAAGCGAAGACGAAGAACAGAGGAAGCAGAGAGTGAAAAACGGAGGCTGGGGAAGTGGAGGCGGCTCCACACTTCAATGGAGGCGGCTCCATTGAAGTGGATCCGGCTCCACAAAGAGTTGAGGCGGCTCAACTTAAAATTAAAGCCGGCTCAACTTAAAATTGGAGGCGGCTCCAATTTTCTAAATGCCCAGTACGTGGGTTTTTGTGGTTTTTCTGATTTCAGGGGCTTAAATGAAATTAATGGAAAGTGGCGTGGGGTTTAAGATGTTTAAAATTAACCTATTAAAACCATGAAATAGTTAGTATATGCTAGTGTGTTAATATAAATGGACATCTTGAATTTTTAAAGAAAAAGATTAATGTGCATGTTGTCCAGGAAGGAGAAAGTCTTAAATTTCTAGTTTGGTTAGCCAATTGAATGGACTGAATTGAAAGATATTTTACGGATGTTGTATCAAAGATATTTGTGATATATTTAAGTTCCATAAGGGTTGGTTGGGTTGTGGTTGTGGACGTCATGTAATTTAAATACATTATTGCATGCTGTCAGGAGTGGAGGAGTTTTATTTGCCGGTTTGTTTTAACCAGTTTATTTTGGTAAGTATAAAATACCATTGGGGTTGTATATAATGTGTTGTGAGACTTCTTAGTTGACATATTATGCCAAGCACAGGTTTTAACATGGAGGATTAAAAAGGATGTCATGTAATGAAACGATAATTTTCATGCCGTCAGGGATTAAGGAGGATTTTCATTACTAGTCTTTGTTTTAATAATTTAAATGAACTAGTATGAGAGTATGGTTAGGGATGTCTAGTATAATGTACTCAGCTCGTATTTCTGATAGTCATTATACCATGGTGTGGGTGTTAATTGATGAACTATTGAAATTTCTGTTTTGTCAATTGGATGGATATGGATGGTTTAAATTGTCTATCAATGCTTTAACAATTTAAATTGAAGTTTTATAATTATAATCATATACTGGATGCATAATTTGGTCATACATATAATAGACCATATTTATGTTTATTTTGGAGTATGGTTGATGTATATTTATTATTAATTTGTCAACTATATTGGATGGAGGATGGTATGCACCGGTATGGGACGGTGGCATACTAGGTATGGATTAGTTCAAACACTATTACCTACCTATTCTGGATTGAGGTGTGAATTTACCATAAAGGTTCAGTTCCACTCATATTTGTGTCATATCAATTATGAGTTGAATGACCTACTTTGGTTTCTAGATGGATTGTTATACTTATATCAGACCACTATAAAAGATAGATGATATTTTGTATTAAGAGTATACGGACTTTATATACATATCATTATGGTGCCATGGTATGAGCTTGAGTCTCAGGACCATGGTTAGGGTACGTATAATGCCTAGGATGGATAACTGGACATAGATGGTGTTCCCTTATAGGTCTAGATACACATGACCACAATATGTGCGATTTGCATGGTATCTCTACTCAGGCTGAGATAGGGCTATTGGACTAGTGAGCGTCCTATAGTGTGTATTTATATCTATATGGACTATTTTAGCTATTACCGAGCTATCTAGGATGTATCTGCGTATCGGGTTTATGTATGGATTGTAGTAGTATGGAACTTGCATGTGAGCCTGACCCACTCTTATTTTTCAGGTGTTCGTCAGTACCAGGCTTAGAGCTTGATCGTGTTGATGCAGATACAGATACTCACTCTTTCGCTTACATATTGGTTTTTGATTTTTAATTCTGTAAATTTATTTAAGGTTTTGGGATTAAGGGTCCACTAGGTGGATTCTCGAGTTGTACAGATTTTAATTATATTAATTTATTATTTAAGGTTTGAGGATTTCCATTTTAGATTTCTTTCAGCGAATTATTATTTTATTCTTAAATCAGTTTTTATTCTTACTTGTTTACATATTCACAGTTGGTATCCCTTGGATCTGTGCTCGGACTTGATCACCCGTGGCTCTAGAATCGAGGGGTATCACACACTGTCCTAGAATCCATTATCGAATCACTGTAAGTTCACCTCTATCAATCTCTAGAATTTCTTTGACCAATGAAGAGTTTTGGTATGTTTCGTCTCCTATAGAAAGTTTTAAAATTCCTATGAATACGCAGAAAAAAAATTCCTATGGAATACGTGGGCAAAAAAATTCCTACAAAAAATTTCGTATGGAGGCTAAAAAAATCCGCAGGCAAAAAAAATTCATACAAAAAAATTTCGTTTGGAATAGGCGGGCAAAAAATTTTCCGAGAGAAAATTTAGGACTAACATTCCTATTAACAAAATTTGCAATTCTCTAAATACTACTACTATATATATTATCTTTCTCCCTTTCAATCTTTAGTAGCTCTTTCAATTTCTGCAAATTCTCTGCACGATTCATAAGTTGCAAAACTCGAACTCAGGTTAGACATGATTTTTTAAGTGCATCATAGAACAATTCATTTCTTCTGCAAAATCATTCTCATTATTGTTGAATATGTTATTTTCCTTCTATATTCGAGACATGAACTTTTCGTCAATTTGATGTTGTGAAGGTGTATTATCACATATTATCTCCTCTTTCTTACTAGTTATCATCATTGGATTTTTGTCAAGGTGTTTATATATTGATCTATAGCACTGGTTTTTCTAATTTCAAAGTTGTAGAATTTGGTACATGTCTCTATTTATCAAAATAATAATAATAATAATAATTGATATGTGTCTCTGTTTTTGTAATTTGTTGCAATTTAACTGATTTGTCAAACTTGATAGTGTGTCTGAAAAAGAAAAAAAAAAAAAAAAAACTTGATAGTGTGACAAACTTTATTTATTTTTTTGATAGATGCTGATGCTCTGTTTTCTTTCTTTGTGGTTTTTGATGCCTTGTGAGTTCACTTCCTCTATGGGTAAGTGTCTTGTGAGGGCCGTGAGACCTGGTTTTGGTTCAATCTCTTTGTGATGTCATGGATAGTTTGGGAATGCTATCACGTTGTGATCTACTTTCTTCTAGCTAAAGGATGGGATTCATTCTGTTCATTTTTTGTTGTTTTCTCTGTACTATGTCTTTTTTTTCCTAAATGGTTTTCTCTGTACTATGTCATTTTTTGTTGTTTTCTCTGTACTCTGAAGTTGAGGTTATTTTAATTCTTTATAGATTATTAATTTTATGGTATGAAATGAGCTCTTATAATGAGGACATAGGAAATGGGGGTAACTTTAATTCTTTTTATTTATATGTATTCATCTATGTATTTATAAATGTATCATGCATTACATGTTTGTAGCTTATTACTGTGCCTAACTTGCTCACAAACATGCATGTTGTACCATGCATTTTGATTGTCCAAGCTAATTTGTTATATTATGTTATAGATGGCAAATAATGAAACATGTGGGTTATCAATGCAAAGTCAAAAGAGTGAAAAAAAGGGAAAAACAACTTGGAATAATGAGTTGCATAGTATTTTTGTACAATTATGTTATGATCAAATGTTAAAGGGAAATAAAAAAGGACTGTCCTTAGTAAGGAAGGATGGAATTATGTACTGCAAAACTTTCAAAGGAGAACTGGAAAAAAATATGACAAAAAACAGATGAAAAATCATTGGGATAGTACAAAGAGTGAATGGAAGATATGGTATAAGCTGAAAAGGGAAGAGACTGGGCTTGGATGGGATTATGAAAAAGATACAGTCGTGGCTAGTGACGATTGGTGGGCTAATTACTTGCAAGTATATACCTTTTCTTTTTTCTTTTTCTTTTTTAATTATATGAATACGCATGCATTATTTTGTAATTATATGTTATGATAAAAATTATTTTGTTAACAGGTCAATCCAGATGCAGCTAAGTTTCGTGAGAAGGGAATTGAACACTCTTACCAATTAACAGCTCTATTTAAAGATCGGATAGCAACAGGTAATTCGGCTTATGGACCTTCACAAGGAACTTTACCAGAAGATAATGCTGGACCTTGTCGAATTGAGCAAGATACACAGGATACTCAAGAAGAGATGGACGTAGATACTATATTTCATAATGAAGAAGAACATAGGGAATATGATAATAATCAAGAAACTGGTGGTGTTAGGGAGAATGATGGTACACGTAAAAAATCAGAGGATTTCATTCCGCCACCTGAGAAACGTCGAAAAGTGACTCCAGCAACTAATATGAACAACATGCTTGAGAGAATATGCAATGCAGTTGAATCAAGGGCAACAAATTATAACCGTGCTGGCGGAAGTAACACAATCAAGGAGTGTATAGACTTGTTGAACCAAATGACAGAAATACCAAAAGGAGGAGAACTTTACATGTTTGGTTGCGACACTTTGTTCTTACAAAAAGAACTACGAGAGCTATTTGTGGCACTCGGAGAGCATGAGTTACGCCTTAGTTGGCTTCAAAACCGACACATGGCTTCTAAGACATCCCATCCATAGTTTTTTATTTTTTTTTAAAAAAATTATTATTAAGTTTCAAAATTACCATTATGCAATTTTTATCATTAATTTTTTTTTTTTTTTTAGAAATTGATAGTTTTAAGATACTGGAGTGGTTATTTGAGGTTGTTATTTTTATTTATTAATGGAAATGCTTTATTTTAGACTTTCTAAATGTGTGATACATGTTCTTATATATTATTTGTTATTTATAATTTGTTTATTGTATAGATTTTGATGAAGGATGTTCATTGTGATAGTTAAGCATGGATTCAGACAACAATTTTCAATCTGATGACGAATTTGATGAAATGGTGGCAGATGCATTGCTGGGTGTTGCAGTTTGTGTTTCAACTAATTACCACACCAACTATATTGTGAAAGAACCATGTAGAAATTCGAATTATACAGGACATCAATTTGTAATGGAAGTATTAGCTGGACATCATAAGCGTTGTCATGAGTTATTTCGCATGGAAAAGCATGTATTTTTACGGCTTTGTCAAGGGCTCACACGAAAGGATCTATTAAAAGATAGTCGTGAAATTTCTGTGGAGGAGCAAATGGCCATATTTCTTATGACAATTGGCCATAATGAAATAAATAAGATGCTACAAGAACGATTTCAACACTCTGGTGAGACTATTAGTAGGCATTTTAATACAGTTCTGAAAGCCCTAGTAACATTCTCAATGTCAATTATTGTGTCTCCTTCGTTTGATGATATCCCTATTCATATACGCAACAATCCTAAATATTGGCCTCATTTTAAGGTAATTTATGTACTTCTTTCATAATTGATTATATTATTATATTTTATCATTATTTCATTGTTAACTTCATAACAATCTTTTTGTAGGGTTGCATTAGTGCAATCGATGGAACGCATATTGATGCAGTGATTCCAGTCGATCAACAACTTGCATATCGTGACGTAAAGGAGATTGCACACAAAATGTGATGGCTGCTTGCTCATTTGATATGAAATTCACATTTGTTTGGGCTGGATGGGAGGGATCGGCTCATGATTCTCGTATACTTGACGAAGCTCTTGGTAGGCCAAATTTGAACTTTCCCAAGCCTCCAAGTGGTTCGTATAATATTTTTTTTTCTTTTTTCTTTTATTTTTTTATTTTTTTGTAACTTTTTTTTATATATTTTTCTTTTTCTTTTTGTAGGTAAATATTATGTTGTTGATGCTGAGTATGCTAACATGTCAGGATATTTAGCACCATATAAAGGAGTACGTTATCATTTACAAGAATTTCAAAGAAATCGCCAACCAAGAGGAGTTAGAGAACTGTTTAATTATGCTCACTCATCTCTTAGAAATATAATTGAACGTTGTTTTGGAGTTTGGAAGGCTCGGTGGGCAATTTTAAAACATATGGCTCCTTTTCCATTCCCAACACAAAGGTTAATTGTGATTGCATCAATGGCATTACACAATTATATACGACAAGAAACAATAGCGGATGCCGAATTTCGACGATATGATGATGATGAAGGTTATGCCAGTGACAACGATGATATGTACACGCGTGTTACTTTATCGGAATCTAGTGGAACGGTGGACCAACAACAAGAGATGAGCATTATACGTGATGGGATTGCTAATTCAATATGGTAATCAACTAGATAAATTGTTCCTTAGTCTATTTATGTCTTAGGATTGATTCTAAAATTTTAATTTATTTATTTTGAATAATTATTGTTTATTTGAAATTAGTATTTAAATTATTGATCATGTTTACTTTATATATAAATGGAAATTTATTGTCTTCTTTAAATAATATTTAACATATCGATTATCCATTTTTAGTGGTAGAAGTGTTCTATCTAATTGTTCATTATAATTTTAAGTTAATTACAATTATTATTATTATTATTTTTGAATTACTAAACTGTTGTTGATATGATTCAATATTTGTGTCAAATAGAATGTAAGGATATTATTGTAAATTTGTAGTTATTTAATAGTAGAAGGACTTCGGTGACTTTGCAACCAAACATCCCTTAGCAATTAGGCGAGCCTTGTACCAATCAATAGATCCATCAGTCAAGTATTTCACGGTAAAGACTCACTGACACCCCACTGTTTTATCTCAAAAGTAAGGTTTACCAAATGCCTTTTTTTATTTCTAAATTCCTTCCTATAAGTGATTCTTGAAAGCCCGTTATAGTGAAAGGACTTTTCACAACGGGAAGCTCATCCAAACACAGCTTTGATCTCTCTAAATTAGATAACATACCATTTTTTATTTAGGATATATTCAAACTCGGAATAAGAGTTAGTCAAAAACAAACTCATTGGATGGGTAAAATTGTCTTTCCATTTTTGCAAGCACAAAAAGAGAGTGCGTTGTGCATTATGCAAAGGTCATTTACTTTTCATCTCCCTTCCATTCTACATCTATATTTATTTATATTGTATAAAAATAAGAAATACAAATACTAAATAACTTTTATAAATTTTGTATAAACCGTTATCATGTTATGGAAATAAAATTCTAATTTATATAGTACGTAGACCTCAAAATTCTAACCCTCTAATAAGATTACTGTTTAAAATGCATTATGAATGAAAAATTACATTTCATTAATATCATATTAAACACATTTTGATATACGGAAGGAAAAAAAAAAAAAAAAAAAATTGTATTTATCCGTTTTGAAATGCTAGAGTTTATAAGGCCTATACGTGTTTGATATGTCCTTGTCCAACTTATTCTGAAAACATTGGGTTTGGGCTGAATTTAGTAGCCCATCAATCCAATAGGAGAGAAAATAATATAACAAAAAAAAGAAAAAGAAAAAAGAATTAAGTGGTCATCAAATGGATAATGCATTCATTTTTTTTTTTTTTTTCACCCATTCATTTTTTCATTGCTCACCATCTCTCTGTCACACACACAACGAATTAAATCATTTCAATGATCTCAAGCTGCCCCTGAAATATCCCTTCCCAAAAGCAATTCTAAAAAAGACATAAACTCAATTCCCAATCCCAAAGAATTTTAGACAGGATCAAGGGCAATTCTGTCCCATTAATTTCAAACTGAAAACCACTCCCCGCCACTCGCATTATAGATTCAGTTAAAGAGAGAAACAACAGTTCACAGAGAGAAAGAGAGAAGAGGATGGCGTTGAGACTGTTATCTCCACCGCTTTCTTCTTCTCGATCGCAACTCAATTTCTTATACAACTCCAGATTGCTCTCGAAATCGAGCTCTCTACTTCAATGGCGGCCAAAAACCCTAGTTTTCACTCACCGGGGAAGCACGGTGGTGACGCCGAGGGCGTGTGTGAAATTGGAGGAGCAGGATGTCGTGGAGACCGGAAGCAAGTGGGGGAAGGTGTCTGCGGTGTTGTTTGATATGGACGGAGTGCTCTGCGACAGTGAAGAGCCGTCTAGATTGGCTGCCGTTGACGTGTTTGCTGAAATGGGGGTTCAAGTCACTGTGGAGGACTTCGTGCCATTCATGGGCACTGGTAAATATCTCTGTGAATTTGAAGTTATAATTGATTTTGATGAAGTATCAATTAGTCCCCAATTGCACATATGCCTTTTGAGTGAACTTTGAGTTTCATGTATATATCATTTTTTTTTTTGATAAGTGAGATTCATGTATATATCATATATGTACATTTAGCGCATGGTTATTATATTTTTAGGTTTATTGGCGTTTATGATGTAGAAACATCATATAAGTTGCACATTATGGTTACACACAGACACAGGCACTGTATAATTATATTATTAGGGTCGAATGACCATTCCTTGGGGTGAAGAGGTGCCCTACTAAATGTGTGGATAATTAAGAGGTCAATTGGGTAAATTTTAGTAACATTTTTCTGTTTATAAGTGTACTTATCTAATGTCTATGGTGTTTTGGGGAAAAAAATAAAAGGATAAAAGAAAATAAATTTTAGAACAAAAATCACAAGAAAAAAATGGTGAAACAGCGATGGAAAACAGAAAAGGGACACACAAAAATGCTAGTAAACATCCCCACCAAACAACTCCCACAAACACCACCCCCCCCCCCCCCCCCCCCCCCCCCAAACAATCCCAACAATATCCAAATATATAGATTGATTGTCCATGCATTTGTAATGCGAACTTTATAATCATGACACTCTATATTAACGAGCAAGAGAAAAATTGAACAATCATGATGATGGGTCATACAGTGTCACGAATCACCAAAATTGTGTATATATTGTCCGCTTTGCACACTCGCCTCTCGCTGCTTATGGTTTTCCTCAAAATGCCTCTACATAGTTAGAGGATGTCCACATGTAAAAGTATTATCAGACCTCTCCCACCAGACCCAGCGTCCTCGCTAGCCTGACGCGCATGGGCTTTTGCACGCTCCCCCCATTTATAGTTAGGGATTGGCTCTGATACCATTTATCGTGACCCACCCACAATGTGTAGATATTGTCAGCTTTGCACACTTTTCTCTGGGTGATCACGATTTTCCTCTAAATACGTCTAAAGAGTTAGGGGATGTCCACACATGTAAGTGTCATTAAACCTCTCCCCCAGGCGATGTAGGACGTCACATATAGACTCCAAAGATTGAATAAACTTCTCAAGTTCGTGTTTTTTTAATCTTTTCAGATAATACAAATGTGGGTACTGGAAACCTTGCTGGCAAAGTGGCAATACTATTTATTAAGCTGGCTAATTGGCATGATAATTGTGATTTCCAACACATATAAGTCTTCTAGATCTTCTTATTATAAATAATTCAAAGAAAGAGAAACATTTTTTGGATGATAAATAAGGTGTTATGGTAACATTAATCCAAGCCAACTTCTTTTTCTTTTCAATTTAGCTCCCCTTGTAAGTACATCACATGCACACCCCCACAATTGCCCCTTATGGGGACTTGAACCTCAACCTTCCACTTGGAAAGTAGAGGACATAACACTAGAGTTAAGCTCTTGGTGGTAATTTTGGTCCTTTTATGCCACAAATGAAATTTAGATCTGCATTTTCAGCAAGAAAAATATTATTTTTAAAATAGCTAGAGGGATGATCAAGTATTTGGTTTTGTAAGGTACATAGCAAGGTTTTGCGTGCGCACACACAAAAACACGAAATGGTTTTAGCTTAATTTAATTATATATGTTTATGCAAATGAACTAGGTGAAGCAAACTTTTTAGGAGGTGTAGCTTCCGTGAAGGGTGTTAAAGGATTCAATACTGAGGCAGCAAAGAAGAGGTTTTTTGAGATATATCTGGATAAGGTGATATTCAACTGTCTTCATCTTTTTTTCTTTTTCTTTTTTCCTGACACATACTGTAATAAGAATCTGATCAAGTGCAGCTCATTTTCAGTTCATAAATCATCACTGACCTCTAAAATTGCTTTACTTTTTTGTAGTATGCAAAACCGAATTCTGGAATAGGATTTCCTGGTGCTCTTGAACTCATTACTCTGGTATGTAAATCAGTAACTTAGGTGAGTTTGATACTAGTATTTTGTTGCTGCATCAAGCAGTAGTATGATATTATGATGCTGTACAACAGTGTAAAAGCAATGGCCTTAAAGTTGCTGTTGCATCTAGTGCTGACCGCATTAAGGTTGATGCAAATTTAGCTGCTGCCGGTTTACCATTGTCAATGTAAGCTAATATAATCATGTGCTCTCCTTTTATGTTTATGGAATAAACTTATATACTTCATTCCTTTATTATACCTTCTGATTTTCATATGTTGCTGCCATGACCACTGAAATGTTCTTGTGCATTTAATCTTCAGTATTAGTTGACCTCTATTTATCTCAGAGGCAGACTATGCAAGTTAAAACCAAGTATTTTGTATGGATATAAATTGTTTTATGTTTCAGCTCTTACTAGAAGCTAAACCTTCATTAGTTTAAATGATTAATTTGTTTTAAAAGTTCTTCGAAATGGTATTAGATCTCTTACTGCTCAGTTTATGGCACTATTCCCCCATGGGATCTAGTGTTAAGATCATCACTCTGTAGTCAAAAGTATTCTGGATTCTTTTATTTTGGAAACTATTGTTTTAAATTTTGGTTACAAACAGAATGTTTATAAGTAGTTCAGCTTGTGGGTCTTCTTTGCTTTGCTGCTTTTGCTTATTTATGTGGTTGAACTCTATGCTTTAAGATTTTGTTTCTTCTGGGTTTTTTATAGCCTTAATTGAAAATTTAGTATGTTGCTTTGTTTTTAATTTTGGAGAATGAATAAATATTTGAACATATGCATTCAGTAATGTTTTTTTCCTTTTTTTCTTTTTTGAATTTGTAAAAAGGGAATTGCTTGTGGCTTTGAGTTTATCAAAAACTTATGAAAGAATAGCATGTGAATTGGGAATTTTTTTACATGAGTTTGAATAAGGGGTGGCCTTTATGATTTATGTCTCAAGTTATTGAAATTTCCAAGGTATTGTGGTCTTACTTCTTTTTTGTATTATTCTATAAGTTTTAGTAAAATATTTATTTATCTTAATCTCCCTTTATATGTTAATTTTAAGTTTATAATCTCATATTAATTATAGAATTCTAAGTGACATCTCTAGAGTATATGATGAAAAACTTTGTACCATTAAGTTACCTTGAAAATCTTTTGTCCCCAAGGCCCCAACCCTCTCCCATTCTTCAGACAATCACGCACGCACATGCGCATTGTCATTATCTCTGAAATAACTGTACTACATTTTATTTTAAAACCTGAGTATAAATTTTGGTTATCATCTTTGGAAACCAATATATGTCTGAAACCGTTGTTGAATCCTGCCACTCCATCATGTGAAGCGAAGTGAGGGGCCATAATACGGTGAACATATAGACTCATTATTCATATCTCATTGTCATAATTAGATGCATTCCTTGCCCTTTATAGGGGATACATTGGCACCATCTCCTACAAGTTAATGCTATTTTATTTCTGGCTATTGAGTTGTAAGTTCAAGTAATTTTTAATGCATGTTTAGAAGGGTTCATATAATAAGATTACTATTTTTATGATCGTTTTTAGCTACTTAAATGTTTTCTTAGTCTAATGGTTCTCAGTCTCTTTTTATCAGGTTTGATGCTATTGTGTCAGCAGATGCATTTGAGAATTTGAAGCCTGCACCTGACATTTTTATAGCTGCATCAAAGATTTTGAATGTGCCCCCTAGTGAGGTACACTTGCAGATTTAGAACGTTATATTCTTTATAAGCATCAGTTGCAAAGAGTAGATTTTATTGGCCTGAAGGAGATACCACATGTTTATGAACTTGTATTATTGCAGAGTAGTTTTCGTAGAGAATACTGTAGTATTTCCCTCAGCCGGCTGTCTGGAAAACAATCTAATGAAGTTTTTAGTTATCATATCATATATTACATGGACTCGTCAAAAGTAGTCAAGTACCCATGTGGTACACATATTGCTCGGACATGGGTATAGGATATATGTCCGACACTTTTGATTGGACATGTAAGCATATCCAATCATTCAATTTTATTGTATTATTACTTTAAAATGAGTTTAAAGCCTATAAATCATTCAATTATATTGTATTATCTCTGCTAATATGGTAAGTCATTTCATAAATCGTGGCTATCATATATGCTAACATATGCATAATCAAATCTCTGCTATTATGGTAAGTAATTCCATAAATCGTGGCTATAATATATGCTAACAATATTAGATAAAACATTACTTTACCGTTGAAAATAAAATAAACTAAATAAATAAAATGAATATTTAGCAGTGTCCACGTGTCCTTCAGTTTAGAGATTTGACATGTCGGACGCATGGATACATACCCGTACCCAACAAACGTACCCGAGTCCATGTAACATAGATCATATCCATTTACTACTTTGCCATTTTCCTGTAGGCTGTAGTGTTTCAGTTGAATTTGATATCTATATAAAAAAAAATCCAGTACTTCCCGACTTCATTTTTTTTTTCTTTGTTTTTTAAATTTCGATCTATTTCATTGAAAAATTCACCATTTGACGCTTTTGGGATGCTCTTTGGCTGAATGGTCAGCTTTGTTTGTGTTCATCTGCAATTTTAGTATATTTAAAATATTATTTTCATCACTATTTTTTCCCAGTGCATTGTAATTGAAGATGCATTAGCTGGAGTGCAAGCTGCCAAATCAGCACAAATGAGGTGAATCTGCTGATACTACATCCACTTTTTTATTTTTATTGTAATTGGGTGTTTATAAAGGACTTATGTTTTCTATATTTTGATCACTTCCCTTGAGAATTACAGAAATTATGTTCTCTCAAATATAACCATTTTCTTCTGCTTGCAGATGTATAGCTGTGACAACAACATTATCAGAAGAGACTTTAGAAACAGCTGGTCCATCACTTATCAGAAAGGAGATAGGAAGTGTTTCACTTCATGATATTCTCAGTGGTGGCTCTAGTTGCCACAGTATGTAGTTTTGAAAATACATTCAAATGTCTTTTTGTACCTCTCTTTTTTTTTTTTTTTTCCTTTCTTTCCTGAATGATCTTTTTGTACCATTAATAACAAGAGTGATGAAGTTACAATGTGTGTCATTTCTTAAGGAACTATAAGTAAACCCTATTTGTCTTGTAATGTGTTTTCTATGTATTGTGATTTTTTATTCCTTTTTGCTGAATTGAATCCATCCTTACTAATTAATTGATTCTGTATCTTTTGTTTGTAGTTTTGTAAGATGGCAGGGTATAAGACTATATTTAGCTGTAACTATGTTACTCTTCTAGTAATTATTTGCTGGGTAATGTTAAGGTTATATAAGTACAGATACTTCTATGAGAGGGATGTACCTGTATTGTGTCAGTGTCCAATACCAACACTCATACAGATACTCGCGCATGCATGTTTGATACTTCCTAAATGTATCCAAAATTTGAAAATATTATTTCTTTATTTATTTCTAACATGTATCCGATACTTCTCAGATACTTCAGGGTACATACTTAGTAAGATATGAACGTTAAAATATATATTTTTTCAAATATAATATCATAGTACAATCCTTAAGAAAAACTTAATATCTCTTCAAACAGAAGTATTTAGATAAATAATATGGTTAATTTAGTCTAAATTTATCCATTCAGTGTAATTCTCAACTCTTAACTTATTTGTCCTAATCTTTTATAAGAAAATATTAGTAATCAATTAATAATATGTATAGCATGACAAAGATTTAAATTATTATTTTAAATTTATACATGGAAATATGTATTTTCTTAATTTTATGCATATATACATCAACACAATATATCTATATATATTGAGGTGTCCTGCCGTATTCATATCCTAATTTTTATGAATTTAATGTATCATCGTATCCGTATCGTGTCATATCTGTATCTCGTGTTTTGTCCATGCTTCATAGGTTATATGTATTCTCGCAAAATGAGGTCTGATGAAGACAACCCATTGCAGATGAGAAGGTGCAGGGACCTCAATATATAAATTCTTCTGCACAATCTACACCAGCATTGGTCAAGGACAGAACAGAGAGTGGGTCATTCCAGGATACCTATTCTAAGAATGAGATGGTCTTCCCAATTGGAGGGTAAGGGATGTTCCCTATCCAGAATGTTTCGATAAAATCATTTCGCTTAAGCATATTATTCTTGTTTTTCCTACTACTTCCAACTTTCTTTGGCATATGCACAAAATTTATCAATGTTTGTTGATTTGATTTTGTTTATGAATTTCATCTTATTTTCCCATAAAAATACTTGCCTTGGGTTCACTTGTGCAGTTCAGGAAAAATCTTCACTATCCTGGATGAATAATCCTAGCAATGGTTGTGTCAGTATTAGAATCTTATGACCCCATATACATACATATATTAGAATTTTACCTTCCTTGTCATAACCAGTGGAATATTATCTGAAGCAGTTGCTAAACTTGAATTGAACATTAAATAGGATCTTTGGACTTCAAATAGTGCCTGAAAGTCTTCATTGAGAAGCATCAAATTTGGGCCCGGCACCTAGATTAAATATGTACGACAATGCCTAGAACTGTTCCAAGAAGTCAAACCCCTAATATTCTTCCTTTGCTTATGGCCGATAAATCAACAAGACAATTACACTGTTAGTGAAAATTTCATGCATTCAGTGAACTAAGTCGACTGGACTATCAACGAATAGTTTAGAGAATTATATTAAAAAAGATAGAATTTGCAGGCTTTCTCTCGTTGTAAATTTTGCCAATTTAATGGTCTCTGTTCTCATCTTAAATATCAAACTCGTGAACAGAGGACTAATGCTCAAGATGCTTTCCGACAAATTGCAATGATGAGGAAGGTTCAACTAAGACAATGGTCTTTGAAGGAGAACCACACTTGCGCTTGATCACCTTTACAAGATGTTTGTTTCATCACACAACAAAAAACCACAACACTGGCCTAGAAGGTTCTTTGTTCACTTCAACCAGATCGAACACCGAAACCCTTTTCTTATTGCAAGACCTTGATCCACTGTAGCGACTGACAATTGCATTTTCAAGGTTATATTCCTTTTTTGTTTTTAAACAGTAAACCTCTTCACTTCTAGTAATTTCTTATTCTGCTGCTTTTCCCTCATAGTTCAACACCAAAACCTAAGGAATCTGGGATGTACTGCATCATATCTAATTGTCATGCCCAATAGGCAGCTATAAGTCCACCATGATGGTATACTAAATGTGTGATGTAGAATGATCTAAAATAAGAAAATACATTTTTTTTCCCTTTTCCTGTTGACTCTTTTCTAGTGGAAAATTCTTCAGGTAAGATTCCCTGGAAATAAATATGTTGCCGATTATATTGTTTACTTGGGTTACAAAAGATATGAAATGTCACTCTTTCGTAAATATATTAGGACATTTAGTTTGACATGCCACACTGATATATATAGGTCATTTAGTTCATCAGTTTTACCTTGAGAACGCAGAAATAATTTATGGACAGGTTGCAGGGCTCTCGGCGAGACATTTTGAGATATGGAAGTCTGGGAATGGGAATAGCTTGTCTCCTTTTCACTGTGACACACTGGAAGGTATAAGTTATGTGATAAAAACGAATAGTGGATGGTTTTTAGATTCTGAATTTGTCTTGAAAACAGCATTTTTCGAGTGCCTTTGAGTATGCTAGCAGGACTTTGATGTCATTTTTTAATTTTGATTTTTATTATGTCTCTGGAAGCTGCTATGCCCTTGCAGGCAATGCAATTTGCATCTCCGAAAGCTATATGGAATCTTTTTTTTGGAGTCAGCAGTCCCCCTTTTGAAAAGAATGAAGGTGCTGATTTTTGTTATGAAACATTTTTCATCTCGTTACGCTGCATATTCTTTGTGGTTGTGCATTTCATTTTATTTTCACTTTCTCCCTCTCTTTTACTTATATTATTTTTCTTTTATTGTTTTATATTCTGAATGATTTGTTCATGTTGTGAAAAATTTACATAGAAAGCATGGTTATTTTGGTTGCATCTATGTTTTCTTTTCTTTTAAAGACTTGCAACAGAAGTAAGAATTACGTACTTTTTGCTTTTTACTGGTCACAGGGGAATCCCGTTCTGCAAGAATCCAACAATTTGTGAACTATATATCTGATTTGGAAAGTAGGTAAGTGAAAATTGCCGCTTTTGTCATTTTAATGTGATATGTTCCATTGTAATTGTCTTGAATGACATTATCTCATATCATATGTTGTAATTGTGTTCTCTTTTTTTTTTTTGGGTCTAATATCTTTTGTATGTTTTGTCTTTCATTTTGTAAGGGGAACTGCTACTGTTGTGCCCGAGTTTCCTTCTAAACTTGATTGGCTGAATGCAGCTCCCCTTCAGCTACAACGGGTAAATTTGTCAAATGGTTTCATGATTCTTTTGCTGCTGTTTATAAAGTGCAAGCGTTTAACCAACGGGCCACTGGCCTAGCGGTATCAGCCTCTTACCTCCCAAAGGGAGGTCAGGGATTCAAGTGTCAGAAGAGACGTGTGTGTGAGTACCAATTAGGAAAAAAAAAAGTGCAAGTGTTTAGGTTCCATTGTCTTGTCCTTTTTTCCTTCCAAATGGATTTTTCACCTATATATTGTAGACATGCCCCTGGAAAATTGTTGTTTACTTTTTATTTCTTTTCAAATTTTCATTAACTTCTAATTACCTAGAATTGTTACTTTCTCGAATCTTTTCAGTTCGAAGCATTTTGTAAGATAGTGATAAAACATATTCCTCTTTTATCGTTCACGAACTCTTTTCATCTAACATTTAGACGCTATCAAAAGGAAAACAAGTGCATGGTTAGCAGTAACGTAATCAGGTTATGAGAGAAAATTATGAGATGGAAAAAGCCAATGAGGTCTCTGTCTTCACAAGAGGCATGAGCTCTTCCTATTAACCATTGGATTGAGCATCAACTTTGCTTTACATTCACAAGTTTGGAGATACTTATCAATTCAATGGTCAATTAGGGAGAGCTCGTGGCTCTCATCAACTTTGAGCCCACCTGATAACATTACTCTTATTAAATATATGTTTAATTAATCATGAAACTGCTTCTTTTGCACATCTACCAGTCTGTCAAATGATGAAATCCGTCATGTGGTATTAGAATTTTTGCTGAAGTTTTATATGATACAATGAAGAACTGCTACTAAAGTACAGCTTTTCTTTTAACCTTTTGAGATGTTTGAACAGGATTTGAAAGGGAAAGTGGTTGTTCTGGATTTTTGGACCTATTGCTGCATAAATTGTATGCATGTGTTGCCAGATCTGGAGTTTTTGGAGAAAAAATATAAAGATATGCCGGTAAAATTCTATTCTTTCCTTTCAATAATCTGAATCTATATAGTATTAATGGTCCTCTAATGGCCTCTTTGGCTTAGGAGTTGGCTTGTATGGTCAACCCTCAGGTCTAGAGTTCGAGGATTGATAGAGAGAAAAGAATCTATACAGGTTTTTTTAAATGAACTCTATCTGCGCAGGCCAAATTCAACCCGTTTATGGTTAGCCTCATAAATGAGGCTCAAATTTAAAGCAATGATTTTAATAAGTTCAAAAATCTGACTTCAGGTGGAACTCAAAACTTCGTTTGAGAAATTGATGGTGAAAGTTGTTTAGTAGCATTGTAATTAAATTGTTACCATATGCTGGAGGGCACTCTTGCAGATTCATTGATTCTGAATGTACGAAACGTATTAGAATGTCATGCTCCAAGATTGGCAGATGATTCTATGTTCAAGTTTTAGAACAAAAATGTGAATAGAACTTGAGTGTGAAAATGGACAAAGAATTACCAAAACCTAAATGGAAAAATTGGAGTGAACTTAGGGAAAATCAGAAAGTAGCCTTAAATGTTGTGGCGGAACTTTTCATGGTGATTCGTACCTTAGAGGCATATGCTCACGCGTGTATGTAACATGCACTTTTTCTTTGTTAAAGCCTTTAGCTTCTTTATTATTAGTTTATTGGTCAAGATTATAAATAATGGGTCGATCCGTAGTTGCATAAGTGTTTATTTTTGTGCAGTTTACTGTTGTGGGAGTGCATTCTGCAAAGTTTGATAACGAGAAAGACTTGGAATCAATTCGCAACGCTGTCTTACGCTATAATATCACTCACCCAGTAAGTTAAATGCTTTGCACTTGGTATCAGCTTAACCTTCATGTTACTAAAAGCATTTTTGGTATTGTAGAACTAAATATTCAGTATAGTTTTCCTTGTACAATATTAACCATCCTTCATAAATTTGGCATATGAATTATAAGTGATTTCTGCCAGTTGATGTTTTTCTTAAGGCTGCAGAACAGCCTTTAATTGGGCCATGTACAGGCATTGCTTGATTTGTTATCTGCTCAATATTTTTTAACCGCAAAAAACATGCTGTCCAGTAAATCTAGTTAAGCTGTCACACCCCGAATCCCAAGGACCTGGTTCATGAGAAATGGGAAGAAAGAAAAGGAAAAGAAAAGAAAATGAAAACCAATCCCAGAACCAAACATCAATGTCCTCTCAACAATCTTAGTTAATTTTGCTCCTCTCTTTCTCAAAGCATGATCCTAAATTGGACCATGTCACTCCTCCTCACTGTGTATTTATTGGTGTATGTGATCAAACCATCTTTCTTGGTTCTCTTCATCTTATCTCCAATAAGTGCCACTTCCATTGGGTCATATTCATTTTCTAATTTTATATCTTCTCTTACTGCACATCGACTCAAAATCTGTGTCTTGGTCACACTCATTTCATGAAGATATTGTTTCTTGTCTATAATTTTGTCCATTAAAATATGACTGGTCTAATACATTTACTCAACTCAACATATAAAGCCTTTTCCCATCCATTTATGGTCGGTTATATGGATCATGTAACACCATTCTACTTAGTTTTGAGTCATAACCTCGAAATTGGTACAATGAGTTGTTTTATATAGAATTTACCTTTCAGTTTTGGATGTATACGTTAATCACACAATATGCTAGAATCACTCCTCCATGTAACCCATAATGCTTGTCACCCAGGCCCTAAGAAGTACGGAAACGGATATGGGACACGGATACGACAGGACACGGACATGGCAAATCCTAAAAAATTAGGACACGGACAAGGCGGGGACACGGCGAATAATAAATATATATTTATATATATGTGATGTTGTGCTTTAAGAAATTAAGAGTGATATTATTTTTTATCAACCTAATAATGAAAAAGAATTGTGCTTTGCCAAGAAAAAGAGAGAATGATAGAAAGAGAAGAAAACAAAGAAACAAAGAGTATTAGGGTTTTGGTAGAAAAAAAAAAAATAGGGATTAGTTAGTAAGAATCCATAAAAGAGAAAAAATTCATGGAAACAAGAGAAAAAAGAAATAATAGACACAAAAAAGAATTTTGTTGTGAAGAAGAAGAAAAAGAAGAAAGAAAAGAGGACAAAGAAGAAGAGAGAAAAGAGGAGAAAGAGGAGAGAGAGACCATCCGTTGGGAGCGAAGCTTGGTCGGTGGGAGAACAAGAGTGTCGAAGATGATCATGCAACAGTTTGAACCTTTGAACTAAAATAGAAGCATAAATATCTGGTTCTTTAATATAAAATTGTTTTAAAACAACTTTTTTTAAGTAATTATATAATGAACATCACATCACTGGAAGTTATTAAACAACTCCTCATATTTACACTTCAACCTAGTTTTCTTTCTAAAACTTTCTTAAAATCCCCAAGTGCCTCACTTATTAAAAAAAAATAATAATAAATAAATTCCAAGAATTGGACACGTGTGTCGGACACATATCTATGGCATGTCCGACCCATGTTTGTGCCGTGTCTGAATATTCAAAAAAATTAAAAAATTAGACACGTTTTTTGGCGTATGTGGCACGTGTCCGTGATTGACACGTATCCGACACGGATTCTTTGCCCTTTTAGACGTGTTCATTCTTCCTAGCCTAGGGCATATGGGGCATGACTGGTACTTGGCAACAAAAAACAAGGATTGAAGTCGTTCACATGAACTCCATTAGCTAGGCACAGGATCTTACTCCTCGTAGTCAGTTCGTTCTTTCAGGAAGAAAGCCTTACTCTCACTTAGTTCCATCATAGTTTGCTTTAGTTTATGATCAACATTATCTCTAATTGTTGGGAGAAAAGACCTTACTTATTAAGTTCCGAAAAAAGAAAAGGCCTTACTTATTGTTGTTTCTGTTGTTGTCTTACTATTGTTGTGTAATATATATATATATATATATATTGGTTTAGTGTGTATAGAGGAAAGGATATATTTTTTTTTTTTTCTTAGTTGGTACTCACACACACATGCCTCCATTGAGGCTCGAACCCCTAACCTCCCTTGGGGAAGTAGGGGCCTGGTACCGCTAGGCCACAGACCTGTTAGTGAGGAAAGGATAATCTTTGTATTTAGTACTTTGCATATTTGATAGTTCAACTCTAAAGTACAAGATTTAATTATCACTATTTTTTGTAGTCCAAGTTCCTTAATGAATTGTATAAAAGAACTAATATCTAGAAATTTTTGTGCTGTTGAATTTTGAAGACATGGTTCAGATGCCTCACATCCTTGCCTAAACCCACATATTTTTGTCAAGTACCACTAGTCTATGGATACTTTAGTGTTGTACTGCCTATTTCACCTTATTAATTAGTCATTCTTGGTACCTTCTAATATTTTATAACGTCCAGGTTGTCAATGATGGGGATATGTATTTATGGCGGGAGCTAGGAGTGAATTCATGGCCTACATTTGCTATTATTGGGCCCAATGGTAAGCTCCTTGCGCAAATTGCAGGTGAAGGTCGCCGTAAGGTATTAATATCTCTCTCTAGCATTCTTATGGATATGGTCAAAGCCACTTTGTATATTTAATAAATGCATGATGATTTGATTTATGTGATAATGGAGATACTGTTTATGTTGACTTTAAGAGATAATCAAAAGAAAACTTAGAAAAGTAAAGTAGAAGAAGATGAAGAAGAAGAGAAGGAAGAGGAGGAGAGAAGAGAGTGAGATGGGGAAAGAGAGAAAGAATGATAGAACACTTTCATCCTTCCAACATTCTGTTTATACTAAGAAGTTTCAGAAATTACGCATAAGCACTCTATATTATTAAGTAATAACAGATAAGCCCCTGACAACAGTTAAGTGACAAGATAGTTACTTTACTTTTTTTTCTTTTTCTTTCCTTGAAACTTATTACATTGATTTTGTTGCCTATTCTATAATTACACTATGGTCATTGTCCACAATTGTTGGCTTAGTCATATGTGCTGCTTCTACAAGGGCATGAGTTGATGGGAAATAAGTGAAACAAAAAGATTGAGGGTGATGAGTGTTCAAGCACACTTAGTTGCAGTCTTTAAGGGAGTAAGGATTTTGTGTTTTTCTCTTTTTATGTTTTTTGTTTTATCTTTTAGGTGGGGGTGGATGAAGATGAATAGTAACTAGTAAATCAATTAAGCATATTTGGTTGCATTGAAACTAATTCTTATTTGGTAAATATTTGTATTTTATGGTTCTCCTTCAGAATAAAGACAACAAGTTATAAAATAACTAGAAATGATATCAAATATGGATACGAATCCTTTCTTTTCTTTTCAATTTATGGATTTGAATATCGAGTATGGTCATGGGTCAATAGAGCAGTCCTTATATAGAACTGTTCCTACTCATTGCTCAATAAATATTGTATTTCAGTTAATAATGGTGAATGACCCCAAACAAAATTTGCAATGCTCTCCGTGATCATGAATAGTAACTACTAATCCTCAAATAACTGATAATGATCATGATATGTTGAGTAAAACAAATTTAACTTCTTGTGCATGAACTTTTATTAATCTTAAAGCAAAACAGCACGAGTGGAAACACAATCTCAGCTGCTAGCTTTGCACTCAGTCCATTGGAGGATTTGAATGTGGCTCCCTAGTCTATCTGTATTTGAGAAACTGAGCTAAGTGCAGAAGTTTATCCTGATCAATAATGTGACAATGGCATTCTAGAAACTAAGGGCCAGCCGCAATTGGTCTAATGTCTGGTCTTGTGTGGCGGTATTTGAGCACTTTTCAAATTTTTGATTAGGAATTAATTGGTCAACAGCTATTAGAATAATGAAGACATTTCTGAAATTACTTAAAGGGAGGCATTTGAGTAATATAATGATTTGATCTTTTGTATAGTAGAGACTTGTGCCTTTCCCTTCCATTTATTTATGCTAGATCAATGGTCGGCCAAAAATAATTCCAATAGTAATCTCTCCAGAAATTTTTCCTATTTTCACCATACATATTTTTCATGTAAAATGGAAGTGTTGTATGAAAATTTGAAATTAGCCAGGACAGGAAAGTGCTTTAACTTTTATGCAATTGTAGTAGCATCTTCTTATTTCTGGAATTTTATCTGGAATTTTTCAGTTGTTTCAAATGAAAATGTTGTCCAAATACTTAAACTTCATGTTTGCTTAAAATTAGATGTAGCCCTTCATCTGTTTGCCTCGATGGCACTCAGAACTTCCATGGCAACAGGACAGATTAAATACCCCCCTCATAAACCATCCTTCTGTCCTTGACTTGAGGGATGGAACTGAATTAATTTTTTAAGAGGTTCAGATACCCCTAAGTTGCCTTTTGGAGAATTGGCACAATTCAAGCAGCTCAATGAGCAATGCAATCCGAAATTTTTAACAGGTTACTCTTAAAGCTGTATATTTATGGAATGCGTGTTTCTTGTTAAATTTGCAGTTTAACATTTTCATTCAGTTGAATCAGTTTTCTCTACCATATTTTTTTGGCTAAGATTTTCTCAACCATTTATTTTTTTATTTTTTTGCGCTGTTATGTCTAGTGCTGCTGGTGGCCATTTGAAATGGATAAATATAATTTATTATGGTTATAACTAGCCAGGAACTAATGTAGCACATGTTCATTAAACTGAAAAAGAAGATAGTTGAAACAGTTGTTGGTGTTGCTGTCTATCAGGATCTTGATGATTTAGTGGCAGCAGCTCTTCTATATTATGGTGGAAAGAAGATTTTGGACAACTCACCCATTCCCTTGAATTTGGAGAAGGATAATGATCCCCGCTTATTGACATCTCCTCTGAAGTTTCCTGGTAAACTGGCAGTTGACGTCCTTAACAATCGGCTGTTCATTTCAGACAGTAACCATAACAGAATAGTAGGCTCTCTCTCTCTCTCTCTCTCATCCACCATATTTTGCTACATACTGTTTCCCAATTTTGAGAATGTAGTGCCTGCATGTATAGTACCTATTGATGTGCAATGCTTGAAAATAGGCAGGGTTATATGAATTCCAAATGCAAAAGCTATGTAATATCTTACCGAAGGAATGATCTCATTTTATAAGAGAGTGGATATATATATATATATATATAGATACCAAAATTTGAACTGAAATGTATGATAACAAATATGGTGGATTATTATTTTATTCCATTTCATGCGTAGAATGGAAAAACTGTGTTTTTGGTTGATGAAGGTTAAAACACCTAATAATGGTTCTACGTGGGTGATAGACTACATATATACTTATTATATATAAATATCTCTTCTGTATCAACCTCCTTCTAAGTGATTGCATGGATGAAGAAATCAGTAAGCTGTAAGAATGATAAAAAAAAAATAGGGCACTGCAGTGACAGAGTTACAATCAATTTTTATATGCTTAGTCAGTTCATGAGATACTGGATCCTAGTAATCTGAGTGGCACTCTAATGATGGCTATCACAGTAGAGTGAAAGATGTTAACACATAGTAAGAAATTGTTGTGGCCAAACAATTTCGGCAACTATATCAATTGTGGTATACTCTGCTGCAACACTAGATTGATGTACAATATCTTGCTTCCTGGTTTTTTTAAGAAACAAGAAAGTCTCTTAGAAAGAGCAGACACAAATAGTAGAATACCAACCAGTACATAGTAAAAATCTGATAAATACACCAAGCTTAATTAAAGTTAAAGATGCTAAGAGTAATGTACGAATAATCATGCCATGGAGGTGGACAATCTATGACGGCAGTGTTAGGATAGAGCGAAGAGCGGCAATAAACTGACTAAGCACGTAAAAGCTTAAAGGCCCACATCTGAGTCCCAAGAGAAAGAGAAAGAACGTAAGCAACTGATGTAACAGCTGTAGTTCATATATAATACCCAAAGAGCTGCTCAATACAAGCTGGAACAGCTGTTTTGTTAGTTCGTAGGTTTACTCCTACAAAAAGACAATAGGAGCTCTTGAGTACAGCTCCTACTCAGGCAAGTGCGTTAAACACTTGAGTAATTTAGAACTTCCTTTGAGGAACATGGAAGAGTCGCATATATCTTATTGATGATAAGGTTGGTACATGCTGGTTTGATAGATTACTTTGTATAGACATTCCAGTGAGACCCTTTGATGCCAAGGCACCCTGCCATTGAGGTTAAAGTGACACATGTCATAATTAAAGGGGTCCAACTGGCAGCTATATCTACACCCACCTAGGCGGTAAAGCATGTGGGACATGTGTGCTTTAAAGACAAGTTGATGCTTGCATGATGCCTTAACTGTATTGTTACCAAGAAACCGTATTATCAAACCCTTTTAGATTAAAGGCAAATTCTATGAACTTTAAACATCTTAAAGCTCTAGGTTAGTAGATTCATACATTCAAATGTCAACTAGTATTTACCATGGTCAAAACTGTGACAATATAATTTTCAAATTTGCAAAGAAAAGAAACCCTAAAATTCGCTATTGACCCAGTTCATGTATCGCATAAATTATGTACCTAAATTACTGAAAAGATTTTATGAGAAGCTGCTTTGCATTAGGTTTAAGAAGTTTGTAGATCTCCCATGAGATATTCTTGATCTAGAGTTGTTATTAAACCTTTGATTTGACTCAACATAGCCTTAGGCTAACCAGTTGAGTCAGTTCGACCAATATAGGGTTTGGGAGTGTATTTTATGTATTCTCGAAGCTTGAAGCCCAATATTTTACCATTGCACTTGGAAATGACTGTTTAAACCGTTTTCTCATGAAAAAATTATATTTTCCCTTTCTTTTTCTTGATGTTGGTGTGTGCATGTGAATCTGTTTTGATGGAGAATAACTGGATTGGCGCTAAACAATCTTGTTGCATCTGAAGTTCAGGTGGTAACCGACCTAGATGGGAATTTCATTATCCAAATTGGGAGCACAGGAGTGGAGGGTCTTAGTGATGGCAACTTTGATGATGCCACCTTCAATCGCCCTCAGGTAATGATTATTCTGTCAGAACTAGCCTGTCAAAGATTTCCTTTAATCAGGGTACTTTCATTCATTTGGAGATGTTTGCATATCTTGCAAGGTTTTCTATATCATGTTTATTATCGATTGTATGGACAGAGACCTAATAGTGTGTGTGTTTGTTTAGGGCCTGGCTTACAACACAAAGAGAAATCTCCTGTATGTAGCAGATACTGAGAACCATGCTTTAAGGTAGTGGTGTTTTGGTAACTTATTACTATTGATTGGTGGATTTAGTTTTCTCAGCATTTTGTTATTTACATGCTTGTGAATTCGGACATCAGAGTCTATGGACTAATCTTCTCATTTAGAGTATTGCAATATCAAACAGTTGGAGAAGAAACAAGATGAAACTTCATTTGATTCGGTTTCTAAAAGGATATGCTGTTTATACTTGAAAAACATCCAGATTTGTTTTTATGCCAGAAAGTTCAGTGTGGACTTAGTGTCGTAGGTTGGCATATTTGTAAGAAAATCCAAAGTTTGTACTCTTTTTTTTTTTCTTTTTTCCCTGAGATGACTAACAAAGTTGATCAACACATTGAAGAATGCCCCAGGTATAATTGGATAACTTGTGTTGATCACTCACATTAGGATTAAATAATTAAACTTGAGTGAGGACACAGTTATGCACGATAAATTTTATTGCATTATGATTTTTTTCATGTTCTCATTTTCTTTTTAAATTATATTTAACCTAATTTTAGTTCACTGCCCTGTTGCATGCAGAGGTATTGATCCCTCATGCGGAAGGATTGATTGCTTAGATGCTGAGAGCAAGGGTTCGATCCACCATTAGCCAAAGATCAATCCTTGACCTGGCGCAAGAGTTTTCGTTATTTCATTCAGTTACAAAAAGTTTCAAAAAACTTTTTCTTGTGGACTACTACACCTAAATCCTTATATCTACATATTACTTTAAAAACATATAGAAGAGACATTGATGAAATTTTATAGGGTTTTCATATAGGGAATTTTTTTTTCCATAATTGTGTCATATATAGATTAGGAGTGCATCTTTATTTCTTTATCACAGACATCATCTAGCTATGAGAGTGATTTTGAGTTATTTTAAAGAATTGAAGAAAGAGTTATTATTAGAGATTAAAAGGCAGCAAATCCCATTACTTGTTCATCAAACAACCTAGTAGAGGAGATCAATCACAAGGTGATGAGTGAATCGTATGAGCGGATTATTATATCCTCAGCAGTAGTGTCAGAGGAGGAACATGGATATGAGGCAACTGGGTGATTCTAGGGCTGGAATCTGATACCTAGGTTGTAACACCTTTCTTCATCTAGTGGATTTGATTTGCCTGGGTTAAGTCTTTCCCATTGGGGTTTACAAATAATTTGAAGTGTTCATGTGATTATTTTATTTGGTTTATTTTGCTTTTTCTTTTTATATATGACTGATCAATCAGATTTGATAAACAAACACATACACATTGAGGAATTCAAACTAATGATTAGTATAATCAAATAAAAAATAAAAAATCAGTTATTGAAGGTGGGTTGTCATCAGACCTACTTATCCTACTCTGAAGTAATAAAACCTGGGGGACGGTCCAATTCCTCAAGTTTGACATATAGATAAAGTGTCCTTTGCTAATTAGCAGTGCTTAGTCAGAAACCTGATACTAGGATGTATTATGCAGAGATAGTGGCAGGTTTCATACACATTGAAGTATTTGTGAACAGATGGGGTTATTTATCCTGGGATAAACATTCCCATGGGGATTGGCATCACTTGAGAAGCAATGTTTGGGAAGAATAAAGGAATGCATGATATAGTAGTTAATGTACCAGTTGATCCTAGTGAAGCATTGGAAAAATTCCAATGAACCATTAATGCTATTGAGTTTTTTTCAACAGAATCTCCTCATTTAAAGTTGACTGCAAATAGGATAGTCAAACTGCAGAAAAATTGAAAGAAAAGCAAACCAAGGAATTTAAAAGTTATCACATGAAAAATAAAAATAAAAAGTGCATACTAAATAATTACTATTTCTGGTCTTCAACAAAAAAAAAAAAAAATCCATTACGTGTCTTCAACTTGTTAATTGTCACTCCTTGTACCATTCATCCCATAAAATATGAATCATTCAGAAAAAAGGAAAGAAAAGCAAAACAAAGAATTGAAGAATTATCACTTGGAAAAAACTAAAAAAATAAAAATAATTATAAATATTTACTATTTTCTGGCCTTCAACATGTTTATTGTCACTTCTTGTACCATGCATGATACATCCCAGAAAACATGAAGGGATCATTTCCTGTTTCTGTCTTTGGTGTTTCTCACATCTTTCTTCTTGCTGGGAACAGTGAGAAAGCTGACTTGATCCCAATTCAATTTCACATGAAAATTCTTTGAGTCAAGCCTCTGGGAACAACATTAACAGTATCAGGCTAGGCAGATTTTATGCATAGATTTGTGAATTTTTAATTTGTTTAACTTCTACTGTTGTAGGGTGATTGATTTTGTTAACGAGACAGTGAAAACTCTTGCTGGAAATGGAACCAAAGGTTCAGACTACAAAGGGGGTGGAACAGGAACAACTCAGGCAAGATTGAAGAAAATGAAACTCTTAGAATGTTATCTCTGTCGTGCTTCCAATGAGATGAAATTAGGGCCCTTTGCTTATAAAATATTGATAAGCTTATCAATTTAGGTGCATTGGCATAGTCCTGATGCTGAAAATCAAATTGCCTATCAAATTTTATTGATTAGCCTTTTTTTTTTTTGAAAAAAAAAAAATTATAGATTCTTATTCATGTTCTTTCAGGTCCTCAACTCTCCATGGGATGTCTGCTTTGAGCCAGTCAATGAGATTGTTTATATTGCTATGGCCGGCCAGCATCAGATCTGGGAACATAATACATTAGATGGTATTACAAGAGCTTTTAGCGGTGATGGTTATGAAAGAAATTTGAATGGTTCAAGGTAATGTATGTATTAATGGAATAAAGTTCACTTATAAGTAGGTTGATCATATTTTCTTGTCAATTTTCATCACTCGTATGTACCTGTTATCCCTTCAGATGGACTTAAAAGAAGTTGCTTTTTGATAATGAGATGAGGTTTATTAATGTATACATACTAATATACTTATTTACTTTTGCTGTATTAAAATTTCTTTTATCAGGCTGTCCATATCATAAAGAGTTTTTATGTTAGAGAGTTGATTGCTTTATTATATTTGTTGTACCATGGACATGTTTACGATGTACACTAGAAAATTGGCAAATAGAGGATATATACGTACATGAATTAATTGACAGTTGCTTGCAGTTACAGTTGCATACAATGAGTTATACAAATTTCAAAATTTGACATATGTGAGCGTGTACCCAAGTAATGATCAATGTGTTATTCATATTCTAACTTTCCAGTTGGATCTAGGCACTACTAAATTTATGATTCCTCTGATCTTGAAACTTATGGTCTCCACACTTGGATCATGCTCAACAAATTTAATCCCTCTCCGTGCATTATAGCACCCACCTTCCATTCATCTTGTAACAAGAAACCAATTTGGTTTCATTTGGGCTGTGTTAAGCATTGTTTTTAACTTTTTTTTGATAAATAAGCATTGTTTTTAACTTACAACTAGATTTGATAGGCGTGACATTTCATGGAAAATTCAAGTACATATAATTCGTTGAATAGGTACAAGGAGAATTTAAGCTTATTATCCAAATTGAACATATCTTTATATAAAACATCTCCACTTTGATTCCTGCCTTGGTCTAACCCCTTTAAATATATGGGTTTAGGCCAATTTAGATTTTGAACAGGATTTCCTGTGGAATTAAAACTTTGTCTGAACTTTCATTTTTGGCTACATCTATTTGTGTCCTGAACTTATTGCAGCCTGATAAGCTTATGTTATTTCAAATGGCATAGTATTTAAAAAGGTTAGGTCGGCTAAGAATAAATTTCTGCAGAAAGCAATGACATCATGATGGATTTGCTTAGTGGGCTTACAGCACACAAGTCAATTGGATCTATGGCAACTTAGTGAATACGGTTTTAACCATCTTAGTTACCCTGTGAGATTAAAAAAGATTGAAAAGTAATATATAATATATACATGTATATCTATATTCCTCTACATATATATACATACAGAATATTGACTCCTTCAAGGATCACATTAATTTTAAAATTTTCTTGATGGTTCAAATTTTCAGTTCTTCTATTTCTTTGGATGTAAGTATAGATTTTTGCTTCTGTTATTATGTTTAATTACATACTTAGCATGTCTTATGTACAAGAACGTTATTTAATAGACAAACAATCGAACAGTACCGAATTTTTACATGTCTAATTTTTTTTTTTTTTTTTTTCTCTGTGTCATTTAATTGTAAAAGCTCTACAAGCACATCATTTGCTCAACCTTCTGGAATCTCATTATCGCCTGGTAATATGTTGGAATGCTTTGATAGTTCCCATGTCTTTCTACCAAGGTCATGAAGTTTTTACATGGATTTTCAACTAATATGATAGACATTTCTTGGGTGTGCTTTAGATTTGAAGGAGGCATATATTGCTGATAGCGAGAGTAGCTCCATTCGAGCGCTTGATCTGAAAACAGGAGGGTCACGATTACTAGCTGGTGGTGATTCAGTTTTCTCAGATGATTTGTTTAAGGTATTTTGGTTTTCAAATAAGAAACTAGTTTCATATTATGAAACCAATTTGGTTTCTCATCTTGCAATTTAATTTTTACATAATTTCCTTCAAGATATCTTTAACTGTTGCAGTTTGGAGATCATGATGGAATAGGGTCCGAAGTACTTCTTCAACATCCTTTAGGTGTTTTATATGGGAAAGATGGTCAAATTTATCTAGCAGATTCTTATAATCACAAGGTACTTACTGATTATTGAACTAAAGGAACTATGGAGATACCGTAACTTGCAGTGTGTACTTCCAACGATGCTGATGTTGCAGTAATCTTCACGTTGAAAAGTATTTTAGAAGCTTCCAGTGGTTTATAGGGGATTTTACCTCCTCTGTTATGCCTCTAAGTCTGTTCTTATGCGTGTTTTATTCATTGTGTAAAAAAAATTGTTGAGTGAGTTGACTGTATTGATTTTATATACATATATATATATATATATATTTAAATAAAGAGAAACCCAGGTTGTTTGAGTCAAGTAAACCTAAGCAATCTGTGTAGTGCTATTTGACTATTATATTTGATTTGATTGCCTAGTTGTGTCATTCTAGTGATGATATATTAGTTGCTAATGATCTTTTACTTTGGGGATTAATTATTGTGTAGTGATTATTATATGCAATGGTTGAAACTGAATTTATTTTCAAATTTCAGATCAAGAAGCTAGATCTAGCTAGTAAAAGAGTGAATACATTGGCAGGGACGGGGAGAGCTGGTTTCAAAGATGGAACAGCCCTAGCAGCTCAGGTTGGATACATGTACTGTAGTTTTCTTGTTCACGTATTTCTACAGATGTCAATAGTACATTATGTATTGTTTTTCCATTTTAAAGAAGCCAAATTATATTTAAAAAATTGGTGTCTGAGTTTGTATTATTTATTTTAATGTTCTACTAATTCTAAAATGATTATGTAAAGAACAAAGTGCAACTAGAAGAGCATGTCACTGTTAAATAGTTAAGGAATTTCCTTTTCTGAATCATATTATTGAAGTTGGAGTTTGGATGAAAAGTTATGAGGAAATTGTATCTCATTGAAATTCCATATGTTTTTATTAGAATTTTCAAAGAAATTATATATTTGTATCTTGTGATCCTTTTTCTTACCAGGATTTATGTTTCTTCAAAATTATCAATAAAAATACTCTTCATTCAGGTTGTTCTCCTCCAAGATGAAATAAAAAACTAAAATTTCCTGATACTCACACACGCACTATTTATTAAGCTGGAGTAACCCTTGTGCATTATGGACTTAAGATATAGCGAGCAGCATGAAATCTGCCTTTGGGATTGGAGGTCAGTGGCTGATTTTGTGTGATTGCTCTGTACTATGGCCTGAGACATACCACATTAAAATCACGTGATGAAAAGAATTATGGCACAATGTTGGTGTATTTTTATAATAGGGTGTGGATTTATTCTGAATGCAAATATAAGGAGGATCTTGAGATCAATCATCAATGGATAGAAAATTATGGATAATAATTTTGAGAATGGGGCATTAGTAGTAATTCTTGCTTGATGAAATGGCAAAAATTTACTTATCCAGAATAAATAAATAAATCGAATACAAGAGCAGCCACTTTGCACAAAATAATGCCCCAATCTTCCCCTTCCAACACACCCCGTGTAGGCAAGACATATTCTAGGTAATATCCTTTAAGCATTTATGAGAACTAGGTTTAGCAAAAAGGTTACAAAAAGAATTGATGATCACTCTGGTGCAGGAAAGACTCTCTAAGATCAGGACCATAAAGGCAGAAGGGCTTAAACTAAGATAAGGGAAATATTGGAGGAATTTATATAGCCGAACTAAGTGTTTGACAAAGGTCCTAACAGCAAGCAGATGTCTGATGATATATTAGGGGGGTTTCATGTGTAATATTATGTTGCTGCCCATAACATTGATAGGAAGAAGCTAATTATATATGCAAAGGACCAAAATATTTATTAAAAAAATTATAAAAAAATGGGTAAACAAGTTATAAATGAAATCTTCTTCTTCATGAACTGCAGAATCTTAAAAATGAATTTTATATATATATATATATATATATATATATATAACATAAGCTCCTCGTTTACGCTGCTGGACCTTGGCTTAAGATGTGTTTATGTATCTATCTAGGAACTCATTTTCTCATTAGAAATGAAATATTCACAATTCTCTGTCAATTTTTCATTAGCAGTATTCAAGATTTGTGCCTGATTCTTTAAATTCTCATGTAATGTTATTTACATAAATGACTGCAGTTCATCCATTTAATGCTTTCATCTGAAGTTTTGACAATGCTTTTACTTTCAAAATGCTACATTTAACTGACTATTCCTGTCAAATCAGCACTCATTATTATTAATTTATAGGCAAGTTTTAATTGAACTGCTTAACTGCCATCTCTTTAAGCTGAAATATGCAAAATTAAGACTTTTGGAGTCCTTGTCGGTTTTGCTTATTACATGTTGTGATGCTGCTGGATGTGCCTTCTTTCTTTTAGCCACAATAAAAGACATTTCTTTTGCATCAATTTACTTGTTACATATGCACAACACTGACAACAATCAGTGAATAACAATATATTACTAAGGCATACTTTTGCATGTGGTTAATGTGGCATTGTCATTGATAAATGTTCTCCATGTGAAGTCTCTTGGTGTATACAAATGAAAGGGTTGACTTAATGTTATTCTAGTGTCTTACTTAAGCTATAACCATATTTCTACCTTCACCTGGTAGTCTGGAATTTCATTCTAAAAAATTCATGTTATTGCAGCTTTCAGAGCCATCCGGAATTGTTGAAGCTGAAAATGGTGACGCTCTTCACTATTTATGTGCCAAAAATTCTTCATAGCTGTTATCTGTTGCATTCCTCAACTTATAACACAATCTTTTAGGGATTCTGAACATATATTTTGCATCCATTATAGTAAACGAAGTTGCATAGTTATTAATTTTAGTTATACTTTCACCTTTTATGAATTCGACCCATTTTATTCTGCTGGGAATCCTATAGTTAAGTTCCAAAAATAGGGACCGAATGTTTGGAGGGTTTGTTTGTCATTAATAAAATTGGAGACAATAGTCTACTTTTTGATTGAAAAATCTAACCTGTAAGGTTATATTGTTGCTTAATGTTGGCAATAGCACTGACTGACAAAGTATTTTTTGACGCTCATAGTTGATATCGACTGCTGATACCTTGTATCAGCTGAAATATAACAGCATTGCAACACATGAATTTTTTTTTATTTTTTATTTTATACATATCTCGAATTTGTACATAGGTACAGGTTTTGCTTTTTCCTTTCACATAAAAAATAAAAAATCCTTCAGTCTGATAATCAAAGAATGTAGACAACAAAAAGGCAAATACTTATTTTTGCAGATAATCTTACTCCGTAGAAGTTGGTGTGGTAGTTGTAAGAGGAATCTATGATGATTCAACTTTAAAACAAACACAAGCATATTGAAATTCTGCTTGTGAATGAATTGTGGAAACTAGTTTTCCCAGTGTGATGTAGCAATTTGACCGTCTTGTCTCTCCTAGCAGTAATTTCCTACAATTTTGTATGATATCCTTTGTAAAGCCTCAGCTGGAATTCATATATGCCTCTTTAGTCCAAACACTTGTAATTGAATTTTCATTAAACATGATGACCTTACAGCAACTTAGACATCCATATTACATATTATAGTTGTTGCAGTGGAAAGTGGAGGCAATGAGAGAAAAATCAGGAAGAACATTGGTCAAAGTCAAATGTAAACTTGACAAAAAGAATTATAGCTTGTAAATTATCTTTTTCTTTTCTGCTTCTAAATCTAAATTTCTATAACACAAATCCCATCCTGATATTTTCAATTGAAGGGCAGAGAGATATTGTGCAAATCAAGACCTAGTTTCTTGACATATTTTGGAGATATAACTTCGCATTAAAACCAAATTTGGACAAATTTGGGCTGTCTTTATATTATTTTTTAGGGAACTTTCCTTTTAAGACATGCTTGCTTGTATTGCAAATCATTTCAATGAACAGTCATGAGAACTTCGCAGAACCACCCTTTGATGCATGTGGCGTTAGCAATGATTGTTATTTCAGGGCCTATTGTGTTTCTATGTGGGCATTGGGTTTTGAATTTACATCTTGGGTATAATTTAATTGCATGATTCCTTGATGTGTTGCAGGAAGACTTTTCATAGCCGATACAAACAATAGTGAAATTAGATATCTAGACTTGAACAAGGAAAAAGTTGAACTTCTAACTTTAGAACTGAAAGGAGTTCAGCCTCCTGCACCAAAATCCAGATCTTTGAAACGCCTTAGAAGGCGATCCTCAGCTGACACAGTGACCATTTCAGTCGATGGTGGTTCATTTAACGAGGGCAACTTAAGAATCAAAATATCAGTACCTGAAGGATACCATTTCTCAAAGGTCTCTCTCTCTCTGAGGGTTCATCTTCTATACTATGGTTTATATTAACTTTTCTGTGAACTACCATTCTTGTACTCATTAGTAATATGATCTTTATGGAATATATCGTATAAACTTATCCTCCTAATATCAAATGCAGGAAGCACGTAGTAAATTTATTGTAGAAACTGAGCCAGAAAATGCCATGGTTATTGATCCTGTGGATGGAAATCTCAACCCAGAAGGATCTGCGGTGCTTCATTTTAGAAGATCTTCCCCTTTAGCTTCCATTGGGAGAATAAATTGCAAGGTATGCCTTTATTAAAGAAAGCTTTCCAGGTTATATATCTTCATTTGTTGCAAGGGTCCTACTTTTCTTTTCTTTTCTTTTTTTAGTGAGAAATTGCTAAACCAAATTGAACCTTGTAATGGATAAAAAGTTTGTTGTCATAATTTTTGCATCCTTGAGATCATGAATCACCCTATAGCTGCTGTCTATAGAACTAGTGAGCTTGGGACATTGGTTTTAGGATTAATTGGATTTAGACAAGCCTATGTTATATTGACTTGGTTATCTCAAGGAACAGAGATACGGGTAAATATTTATATAATCTTGAATGCTGCTTTTTTTTTTTTTCCTAAAACAAAATGGTATTTTTTTGAGCGTTCAACATAAACACACCACTCTTTCCAAAGTAATAGTATCAAAACAAACATAGTAAGAAAGCTTTATATGCATTAATATAACAAACTAAAATTATTAAATATACGTGCTACATGCATGTCAACCAGACATATCAGACATAGCATCCCACACCCATACTTAGGGTTGTGGGTCCCACACAAATCCTTACTTAAGGCAAGGACCTTGACGAATTTTCTTCAAATATGTTTGGGTTTCATTTGGACTCAAAAACTATGAGAAAAAGGAAAATAAATTTGAGGAGAGTTGATTTTCCCTTATATGGCTGTGTTGGAAAGCTAGAAAATAAAATATGAAGGAGAAAATAACAGATTTTTTTACTTTGAAGAAATTAATATTATCTTGCAGAAGAAAGATAAAATGTGGGAAATCTGTGTGGAATGGTTATCTAAATTTTCCATAAATAGAGTAATTCCTCCTTTTCCTTTTATTTTCCCTCATGCTATGTATAGGCTTTGGAAGCACCGAATCAGCACCTTGAATTTGGAATTGGAGAAAATTTAGTTCAAAGTTTAAATTGAATTTCCTCCAATTCCAAGGCGCTGATTCTGTACTTCCAAAGGCAATGTCATTGTTCTTGAGAACCAAACAAAGCCTTGGGGTCCTCTTCTGTTGGTTCAATATATGCTCCTTTTCCAGGTTGTCTGGCCATGTTTTGCTGAAGACAAACATGAAACCAGTTTAAGTTTTTGACATCAAAGGTTCAAGGATGGAGGCTGTAGCTTAAGGGTGATCTGTCCTGGAACCAATCACTTAGTTTATGCAACCTGAAGCTACTTTTTAGCGAGGCTGTAGCTTAAGGGTGATCTGTCCTGGAACCAATCACTTAGTTTATGCAACCTGAAGCTACTTTTTAGCAGCGCCTTTGCTCCACAATCTTCGATGTCTCCATTAAGTAATGGATAAAGCTAAGCAAACACCAAATAACATCAAGTTGACTACTCTAAATTTTTCATACCCCATTCTGATAGTTCGTAGTGTACTGTTTTAGAAACAATTAGAACTTCACTTGAGACCAGCATTTTTCATTGCTCTGATGAGAGAAAAAAAAAAAAACTCATGCTGAGCTCACAGTTCATCTGTTACTTATTTTGGGCCCTTAATTAATTTGGAATTGGTATCTACATTCCAGGTTTACTACTGTAAGGAAGATGAGGTATGTCTATACCAGTCTCTGGCTTTTGAAGTGCCCTTCAAAGAGGCGGTACCAGACTCGACCCCGGCAGAAATCACACTTCCATATGTTGTGAAGCCCAGGGCTCCCACAAGCAGCTTACTTTCCCCGAGTCTAAACATGTGAATACGATAAGTTCCCTGAATGATTCCTCTTACCTTGTATCATAATAGTATGACATTCCATTGGATATAGCAACTATAGCATTTACATGAATCTAATCATTGTCCAACCATCTCCTTTCTGCCTTTTCTTTTCTTTTCATCACTCTGATCTGAAACCATACAGATTTTCATTTCCGGGAGAAAACTTATTCTTTTGTACTTGGAACAATTTATTGAACCAAAGGTATACTACATGAATTACGTTCGCTACATGTTCATAATTTTTCTCTGTGACCATCTACATATATATTGACTTGAACTACAAGAAGTAAATTTACATTCAATCAAAGTCAACGAAGTCGTCAAAATTTTATTTTATTTTTTATTTGCTGTACTGATCATGCCCCTCTATTTGATAGGTCAAACCCCATTGTTTCCTGGCTTAAATTGTAGATATAAGCACTGACACTCTCTGACAATAATCAAGATCAGTATTATTTTTTGCTTCAACTCTTGGAACTTTGTTTTGCTGATTTCATCACTGCTTCGAGTGTGATATATATATATATATATATATATATATAGACACTCACACATGCCTGCCAGAATACATGATCGCAGATCCATGCATTGTCTTTGTCAAGACCTGTCCATGCCTGCATTCTAGGTGATGATTTAATTGCATCTACTTTTGTTGTTAATTGTTTTAATTGATATAATTATCATTATCATCATCATTATGTGTGTCATAAGCAAGGTGATGGATTGCTAACCAAGTCACCCACACATGTGCACTTGTCTTCTAGTTGTTGAACCATGACGGTGTTGACAATTATTTGGATTTATGTAATGTTCTATTTTCATAATTGTTGAGCCCTACAAACCAACCAAACAAATACATCCACAGATAAAACCAATATTTGAACATCCTCAAAATCAAGTAACATGAAATGATTATGTGTGTAATCAATTTTTTAAGCTTTTAAGACACACTATTATATTATTTGATGACAGCGTAAAACACGTTTGCTCCACCAAATCCCATGTTTATCTAATCACCAACAATGCTTTTCTGAATTTTTAATTATAAGTCACTATGTAATTATGCAAGTGGATTTATGCCACTCTTATAGTTGTTCCATTTTATACTCCTTTGGTGGGGTCTGGTCCTGGGAGTTAAACAAATGGACCATGGTTTATTGATGCACCTCATTTTCTTATTTTTAGTGGAAAATATCTTATATTTGTGAAAAAAAAAAAATGGATTTACTTATAACAGTTCGTGTTCGTCTTTTTCTTCATCTTTATTGTTGTCTAAATCAATAGACAATATGAATTATCTGTTTTCTTTTATTTTTTGTTTCCAATATTTCATATTCTTTTGATTTTCCAGCTCTTGAACAAATTGCTTTTAACATCTAACCAGGAGATTGAATTGAGAATAATTAATCAATTATTTTTAATTATTCCTTTCTTTCTTTCTTTTCTTTTGAGGTAGGACAAGTTCATACACAACAATTGTAAAGACAATTATATTGTAACCGATTTTCTAAAACGCTACAAGTTTAGTTCATTGGATTTTTAAATCATGGATAAATCCAAGTATGAATTCTATCTACTTAATCAAAGAAAATAAAATAACTAAATCGACTAAATACTTCAGCTTTAGAATATATCTAAATAGCATTATTCCAGTAATATTTAAGTCGGCAAGAGAATGAAATACGCTGCTACAACGTTGTAGAAGTCAAAACCCCTAACAACCCATAAACCAAACGTCCGTGACACATGAGACAAAACATATGGTTTGGCCTTCAAATTTAAGTAAGTTATAATAAAGTCATTATTAATGAAATGAAAGTTGGTTGATTTAAAAAAAAAAAAAAAAAAAAAAAAAACATGTGTTAAATAATTAAAAAGGCCACGTTAGGGACCATCCAATGCACCAAGACAAATTGGGTGTAATGGTCAATCACGGGTCTTCAAAACCCTATCATTCTTATCCAGTTATTGACTTGGTCTTTTACTCTTTCTTATGAATATAATTGATTGAGAATAGAGACAATGAGAGCTTCTGTGTTGGTCGGTCCACTCATAATTCTTAAATTAACTAGTAACTGTACAAGTAAAGATTATTTGTTGGCTAAACAGCAAACACATATACAGTGTGTGTGTGTTTGGTAAGAAATTCTCCAACATCTAGTGCTGAGAGTAATTCTCAATTCTTGACAGAGACAAAATTTTACATAGAGAAGGACGACAAAATTGGACTGTTTAAAAGTTTTAGTCATGATGTGAATTATGACGTCAGTTACAAAATGTAACAAAAGTTTAAGTCATGATATAAAATTAAAGTCTTATATTAATTTTTCTTTATATAATTGAAAATTAAAATTATAAGACGATCAGTTGTGAAGATGATGTCAGTTCTCACTCATATCTAAGTCTTATATTAGATTTTATATTGAAGTATTTTTTTAAAAGCTTTTTTAATATCATATAGGAGTATATATATATATATATATATAATGCTTAGTAAATCTCATGTTTCTGACTTGGATTACTTTAAAAATTGCCAAACCCAAACAGAGCCATACCATGCATATCTGTTTGTCCATTTTCCATATAGTAAATCTAAAATTGTGTTGTGCTGTGTGTGTGTGAGAGAGAGAGAGAGAGAGAGGTGGGGGGAGCAGTGAACGGAGTCAATTACCACTTGTTATTTACGGAGTATTTTTATTGTGACAATGAAGCCTGTCCCGCGCAAGGAGACAGATATATCTGGCATGCCACGTCCTTACAGGACTCATTTGAATTTTTTAAGGTATTCTTTGTCCTTTGATTATATAAAGGCTAAGCTTAATGACACCTCGTAGCCTCCATTAAGGAAGGTTTCATTCATAAGATCAAATTATTGAAATTTCTAGCAACAATGTTTATTGATTGTCATGAGTTGCAACTGATATATATATAATGATACACACAAAAATGTTCATCCATGGATGGTCAAGAATCATATGTATGTACATGTATTTTATAATATGTACACAGATAAAAAAACACATGACAGTCAATTAAATTTAAGATTGTAGCTTAATGTCAGTCACACTCATAACTTTACAAATCTCATCACCTGTCTATGAGTGAATTTTGGTATGAATTATTATGGTTTGTTAATATTCTTGATGTCTACTCATGTAAAAATTAGTTAAATTTGTTCCATCATTAATGCGGAGAGAACAATTACCGTATCACGTAACTAATACAATATTTAGATATATATACAAAAATAAAGATGTGTCGGTATTACCTGAGTAATAAAGAATTAAGCTTTAAAGTATGTATACCCTCAGGCAAATATATATGTGTATATATACTATATATACATACAAAAGAAAGAGAAGATAAAAGTAGGAGACTGTATTGACATGTTAACGTGGCTAAAACCTCTCCACACCCAATAAAGTGGCGAGAGTCCAGCAAAACCTTCATATAAAACCAAAACAAAGGCCAAAGTAGATGGAAAGTGCCACGAAGAAAACAACCACATGCTTTCTCTCCCCTCTCTCCCCTCTCTCTCTCTCTCTCTATATATATATATAAAAATCTATATATATATTTGTGCATCACCCACTAATCATTGTTGAGAATAAAAACAATTTGGACTGACCCCACCAAACAGACCCTTAATGGAGGCCAACATTATGCAGTTTTTAGTAATAAAATAATCCATTTCCATGTCACCAACTAGTTACAAATTCAACCAAATGAATTGTCATTATGTATAAAATAATGCAGCATATTGGCCTTGCAAGACACGATAATGAGAGACACCAGAAATGGTCTTCCCATGTTTTCCACCTTATATATATATATATATATCCTGCTGTGAGTTTACAAAAATGCCACTTATGGGTTCATAAAATTGCAAATCTAACCATCTAACATCAATTTTAACCTAACATCAATTTTAACATTCTTTTTTTTCCATTGGATCGTGGTGTTGCTCGTGACTCCCGCCTGAGTTGCAGTGAGTCGTTAGAGATTTTCAAAGCATCTATTCTAAATTTTAACATAAAGAATTAATGTATTGAAATATAATTTAAGTGCTTTAAAAATAATACTTCGTAATAATGATATTGAAAGCATACTCTTATCAAAAGAGCTCCGCCACTTGGCTATTCGCGAACCAGACTTTTTAAGAGATCATTCATTATGGTATTATTCCTACATAAGGACGTTTAACTACATATTTTTTATAAATTCATCGTCATCACGATTTTAAATCGCATTACAACATTGAAAGGTGTTGAACCTATATATAATACTTTACATTCACCTTTCCCAGACAATGTGATATCATGACACCCTTAACCTGTCAGTATGGCAACTCTCTCAATGTCTCGCATTTGCCCCCATAAATCATCACACAGTGACTAGTTCGTAAAGCGTTCAACTCCCCGAATATATGTGTCGGTGCCCCTACTTTGTCAGGATTAAAAATAAAATAAAAAATCATTTTATATTTTCTTAATTGAATATTTAAAATGTGTTTCAACACATTTATTCTAAAAATAAAAAATAACTATTACATTGAATCATGATTTAATTGCATTTAAAAATTGCACAAGACTCTAGAGATTCGTTACATTGAATCCAGACTCCTCACTCTTTCTATGGGATTTTTTAATCTACTGTGTCGCGTTTGGTGAAAAGTCAAAAAAAAAAAAAGAAAAAAAAAAAAACATATGGTAAAACTTTAAGCATTGAATTGGACACATGTTAAATAAGACTAGGTCGTGTGATAAATGTTTGAATAAATGGTTTGATAGACAGGTGACCTACAATGTAATATCTGTCGCAACAAACAAATCTTAAAGTCTGTAAATAAATTATTATTACATATATAAGACCACCAAAATCAAGGTTTAAGTAGATCTAATGACTCTTCTTTGAGTTTCATCTACCTTTGAAAGCAAGCTAAGATGATTGGAGGACATGTGTTCTTGAAGATTGCCTTCATTAAATGTAAATTAAAGATGATTGAAAATATTTTCCATTGTTTGATGAAGTTACAAACACAAATGTACTTCTTATATGTCTTGGAGAGATTATTCAATGCTTATTAATAATGTGTCCTTCATTGCTTTGAATGTTTCTGTTTTTAAATCAATTCGGTTTGGTTGTACTTCTAAAACTAATTTATTTCTAAGTCAAAAATAATAATAATAATAATAATCCATTTAAAATCAGCACCAAAAAAAGTCAAAACTTCATTGATAATTCTATTAACTTGTTAATTTAGTTTGTTTGATTGAATTTGATTTGATTAACTTTCTACGATTTTTACTTTGCTAATTTTAAAAGTTTAATTAAGTTTTCTCCAAAGAAGTTTTGCCTATCATCATTCATAAAAAGTTAATTTTTAAATAAATTGTCGGGTGTATGTGAAATGAAATATTGCATGCATCTAGTGATAAATAATATTTTAAGAAGTTCGACACCATCATTAAAATTAAAAATTAAAAATAAAAAATAAAAATAAAAATAAAAAAAATCAGATCAGATCCAGGATAATTTTATAGGACAGAATTGGTCATATAAATATAAAAATAAATAAATAACTAAATATAAGCAAATACAGTAAAAGCAATAACAAAATAGTTATATGAATAATGTATGAATAAACGAAGGAAAGAAAATGGGGAAGCTCTCGGCGCACGAAATCGGGAGGGAAAAAGGAAAGCCAATAAATGTGAATAAAGAAACGACGCGTGCTTTCTTCTCATTGCTCTTTAAGTCTTCAACCTCCCCTCCACTCCCCCTTAACCCCAACTCTCTCTCTCTCTATATATATATATATACTCACACATATATACACACATATACACACACAACGCCACCACCTCTCTCCCCTCCTCCTCCTCCTCCGCCACCTCATCTGGAGGTCCAATTAAAAACACACACTCTCTCAGAGAGTTGTCAACTCAGTTATCTCTTCAGAAACCAGTTTCCAAGGTATGGACTTATTTCTGTTTTGCTACTTTTTCGATTCATTTATTGATTTTTCTTTTTCTACCCTCCTTTGCTTTTGATCTCATTTGCTTTAATTCATAACAATAAGAACTCGATTTTGATATTCTATATATATATATATGTATGTATGTATAATATATGTAGGCATGTTCAAGGTATTGTATTTACCTGAATCACATGATCTAGTAGATTAAATTGAATGTATGAACTGTATAGATTATTAATAGTAATTTTTTGTATGTGTTTTAAGAATTCAAAGGGCCTCTTTCTTTATTTGCAGGTGTTTCTAACTCTCGAAGCTTAATTTTAGAGAGAGAGAGTGTTGTTGGAAGAAAAGAAACAGAGCATATTCCGTATAGATTTTGATTGTATTCTCTCACCTCTGTTTCTGAATCTATCCATCGATGGCGTCAACTTTGATCTCCAATCCCGAAGCGAGCTCCAACAGATCGCGAGAATCGAAGCGCAAAAAGAGAAGAAAAATCGAGACCGAAAATCAAATGGAAGAACAAGTCAAGATCGAACGTACCAGATGGAAAACAGAAGCCGAGCACCAGATCTACACTTCGAAGCTCATCGAAGCCCTCCGTCAAGTCCGCCGGAATTCTCCTCCTCCTCCTGCGACGTCTTCCGCCGCCGCCGTCGGCGGCCGCAATATCCGAGAGACGGCCGACCGAGTCCTGGCGGCAACCGCCAAGGGGAGGACTCGATGGAGCAGAGCGATTCTAGCGAGTCCGCTCAGGTTGAAACTCAGCAACAGGCTTAAAAAGCACCGGAAGGTGAAGGTGACCGGCGATATCCGGTTGAAGAAACCGGCGGAGAAGAGGAGGTCACCGGCGTTGCAGCAAAAAGTTCGCGTTCTCGGCCGGTTAGTCCCCGGTTGCCAGAAACTGACGTTCCCGAACCTTCTAGAAGAAGTCACCGATTACATTGCTGCTTTACAGATGCAAGTTCGAACCATGACTGAGCTCACCGGACTTGCTGCCGGCGCTGGAAACATAGCCGCCCCATTTGATCGGCTCAGCTCGAATCCATCTTAGGCTCGGCTTAGTTACTTTCTTTACCTTATTTTTATTTTTTCTTTTAATTTCTTAGTATTATTTTAAACCCCTTGTTCTTATTGAGTTTTTAAATTCACGTATTTTATTGTATACACGCCTTTTTTCTCTCTTTTGAGCTCCACCATCTCTTTCTTTTTTTTATTTTGTTTTACTTTTTCTTTTGGTTTTGGGTTTTTTAATCACAATTTGTTTATTTTTCTAATTATTTTATTGATTGAATTGAACTTGCCAACTAATATTAAGATTTTATATTACCCATAAGACAGCTATTTGATTCCCTTTAATCACACATTATAGTGACGAAGTCTTACATTTTAGACTAGTTCTTATTTATGTTTTACCCGTTCTTTGAAAATTATTTTCAAAAATTAAAAATTAATTCAAGCAAAACAAACTTAACCTTATCAGTCGTCCTGGGGATTAGTCGGGACAAAGTCTTATATATCCTGGATCATCCAAAAATAAAATAAAGAACTTAACCCTATCAATTTGTGCGAGATTTATGCAGAATTATCCAAAATTCTCACAAAGCATTCCTAGTAAAATAATTTCCTTCAATGGTTATGAAAACAACTAAAATGAAATAATTATATCCATGAGTGACTTGCACAAATCACATCAAAACAATGCATAATCTTCATCATTGTCATAAAATTAGTGGACAATTGCTTTTCACATTTTCACTTTCATAATCGGTAGGATGGTAACTTGTTGATTAATGTGAATGTTATTTTAATTTAATTAAGCATGGTGTCATATGTCACATATGAGGACCCGAATACGAAAACACTCCGTTTTAAAAATTAGATGCTCGGTCAATTAGACTACTGGATAATGGTAATGGTAAAAAGTAATAGGGGTAAGAGCCAACCCCACAGCCAGAAAGTTGGGGAATCAGCCAAATTGGTGTAATAGGGGAAGATATGCATGTCATGTGCTACAATTTCAAGTGCCACTGACCTCTAGCCCCCACCAACTAAATGGCACATGTGAGATGCAAAAGAAAACAAACATTGCCATATTTAATGATGACACATGCTTTATCTTTTTCAATTGAATCCAAATTGTTCAATGAATAAAAACTTTATGGTCTAAGGATAATTGTTCAATGAGCAAAAGTAATATGGTTAAAGATAAGTGGTATTCAATGTCTAAAACACCACAAGCCCCACCATTGTGTTGTGTGTTGTGTTGTGGGTGAGGTGTTGTGTGTTGTGTTGTGGGTGAGGGGAAGGGTCATTCTCAGCCATCAGATGGCCCCCCTCTCTCCGGTCTAAACCACGACGAAACACGTGTGCCACCGCGACTGCCTGGCTGTCACCTTTCAGATCGCGACGCCGGCCGTGCCGGGTGGAATCCCTATCACTAGGGTTTTGGAGATGGTGTTGAATGAAGGAGGACCACAAAATGCTGTTTCCGTAGGCTTTTTTTAATCTCAGCCCAACAACACACATAATGTGTGTGCTTTTATTGATTCAATTTTAATGCGTTTGTACACACATTCTATAAAGTCACATGCATCCATGTGCCCTCTTCATTCAATAAAACCATCCTTTTTTCATGAGTAACCTGATTTGCTCAAGTATGTTATAGTGGTGGATATTCATGAGTCTTTTTGTAGTGATATGAAAATAGTGCCCTTTAAAACCTGGTCCACTAGACAAAATTGGCATCAACCTATCTCTCTTATTGTAGTAGACATTAAATTAAGCTCGTTTTAGAGCACCATATGATGAATTTTAGGGAGGTGATCTTGCTTGAACAAAGGTATGCACAAATCATTTAGAGAAATAATAAGCTAAATGAATGAGTTCCAATATTTTAGAGGGAACTTAAATATATATATATATATATATATGAAAAAAAAAAAGAAAAAAAAAAAAGAAAAGGAAAAGGCAATAGTATCGTAGGGATATTACCTCATATGGAAAAACTTATCCTCTCCAATAACGACGCCAGAATTCGAGCTTCATAATGAGCATTTGTGAGAGCGTGTAGAGGAATGAAGGGTTGAGTTCGGATCATCTGCATTACAGGTTGCGGACAGGTTGCGGACGGCCAGAATCATTTATACATGTGACGATTTCATACGTATTGTGAATGATTCTGACCGTTCCTGCTACTATAACATTGTGCATGTGAATGATCATGACCGTCCCTACTGTTATAGCACCATGATATAATAACAAATGATTCAGTTCGGAAAGAGTGTCAGATAGCCCTTTCTCCTTGTCAAGGGCCAACACGTGTGCCACCGTAACAGCGCCACAGTCACTTTTCAGATAGAGACTCCGATTGGTGCCCTAGTCCCATCACTATCACAAGGGCTTTCCGAGCTAGAGGGGTTGCATATGGAGTTGAATGAAGGACCACATAATTGGCTTCTTAGCCTAACCAAAACAAAATGTGTTTGCTTTTGTTGATTCATGTGTTATGTCCACACACTGTAAGCTCACATGCATCCATGTGCATCCCCTCTTTAATGTCCTACCAGAGATTTACTTATCGATCTTGATATGTTTTTGTTGAGGCATTTTGTGGTGGATTTTAACTTCAAAATATTGTTCAAAACCTTGGGCTCGGTACCAACCCAGTCAAGTTGGTATTAAGCTGACACTGTGTGGGACTACTATGTTTTATTTTTTGTGAGGTCTCTCTTGTAACCATAGTATAGTGCCCAACTTTGTTGGCAATATTGATGGATTTTTTTATTATTGTTATTGTAATAGTCAAAATAGGACAAGAATTCTCTCCAATGCTGAAGAGGTAGTACAAAATTCAGTGGTTGAGATTGCATCATCGATTCAATCTCAACCACTGGATTCTGTGCTGGACCTCTCTAGTGCTTCAGAGGATCCTTGTTAGTGAAAATAAGAGCAAATTCAGGAATTGTCAATGAAGTGGGCTAATAGTAGTAATAATAATAATAATATATATATATATATATATATATATATATATATATATTTGGGTCTAGACTAAAATTAGATATAGTAAAAAAAAATTAAAAAAAAATTGGGATGGGCTCGGTGCGTGGAAACCCTCCAAGGAAGGGCCTTTTGGACCCACTCTTAGGGGATAAACCACAGTAGTACTCGTGCAACCCCAGCACCAAGTCCTCGAGTAAGTTACAAGTAAGCAATTCAACCTTCAAGAAGAGTATTGTCTTCAATGCACTTTTCGAGTGTCAAATTAGGAATCTCCTCCTGAGCATCTAAGTCAAACATTGTTATCATAAAAGATGGTTCTGTAAAACTAAGGAGCCATTAATCCTTGAAAAGTATCAAACCATGAAGCCAACATTATCACGTTGTTTGGTGTGATTATCATTCTGATTGACTGACAAACTTTTGATCATCTTCGCCTGTCAGATTATTTTCCTTTTCTTTTTTTCCTTTCCCACATATTCTCTCCAAGATTGTAATGTTTAGTGTGACTTGAAAGATTGAAGTGACGCGTTTATAATAAATAAAACACTCTCCAATAATAACTTTTTCCTAAGGGTGCTTGCTTGATTTATATGCATACGTTGTAGTTTTTTTTTTTTAGAGTATTGTATAAATTAATTTTAATATACAGTACATTACTTACTCACGAAATAATTAGGGTTATGAAAACTTGCAGTTTCATTTAATAAAATAAAATTTATCATTATCGATCGATAATAAATTTTTTTATTTTCAACCGACACGTAAAAATTAATAGCGATGAACTTCACCCACGCTGTGAAACCGCGGTGTTTGGAGAGGATTTGGAGGCCTGAGTAGGAGAAAGCCGAAATTGAAAGTGGTAATGGCTTTTCATATTAAATGCTTGCATGTGATCCAACTGAGCATGCCACTTGTCGCTTTCATAACCTGATATTGACAAGTCATTGCCACGTGGGACCTCAATAAATGGGTTGTTGTAGCCAAGTGAAGTCTTGTGTGGTCCAAGGACCACCACACATATTGTTGGTGTTGCTGTTGGTGTTGTTCTGCAGGCTTGAAGCTAATGAATTCAGGATTGTCCTTTCCTCTATTACCAAGTTAGGTGGTTCAAATGAATTGGATTCACAGAACGCAAAATAGCTGAGACTTTACTTACCTCATTCGTTCATTTATTTGCACAACAACATAAATAGCAATTCTTTTATTTGCTTTAAAATTCCCACTAGAGAGAATGTGTGTCACTCTAAATACTGCTTTAACATTTAAATGTTTGTTGAATTTGAAATGATTTGATGTAGTTGAAATAATTGAATTTTGTAATTTTTTCAATTAAGTAAATGCAAAGTCTGACAGAATTCATAACCATCTTAATTGATTTTTCTTTTTTTTTCAACTTTTTATATATTATCTGAATATTCAAGAGCTAAGACCATTTCAATGTCCCTTTTCTTCATGTATAAATTGAACCAACAATTATAATAAACACGAATATATATTTTAATTTTTATCGATAAATTTATCAACCTTTAGGCATATTACTCATGAACCTAAGTAAGCCAAACCTACCATTGTTTAAATATTTGACTTATTTAATAAACAAATTTATGGATGAGGCTTGAAGTCAATCAATTTTCTTAATAAACAAACACAATCTAAACCTTTATATATATATATATATATATATATATATATATATATAGAACCTTGTTGCTCTATTATATGTTTTACTGATCTCACATTAAACTCTTTTAGAACCCCAATAGTGAGAGTTCATGCATCGAGTTAGACGTTTAGATGCGTGAATATACTTAGTGTATATAACTATATATATATATATAAACACACAAACACGGTCCATTAATGGGGTGAGATTAATGCAGGCCCCCCTATACGTGCGAAGGACAAAACAGTAGTAGTACTGTGTAGTATGGTGAAAAGCAAGTTGCATGGGTGGGGGGTGGTGGTGCGATTATGAAAGTCGATCGTGGCATCACTTAGTAGCACACATGTCATCATTATGATCTCCTTTTATTGGGACAAAAGTTGATTCCGAGGCATCTACTTTTGGATTTGTTGTTGGCTCCCAATAGTCCTGCCCACACGTGGATTTTATATATATATATATATATATATATATATATATGGGTTGCTGCTACGAAA